TATATATATATCAGTCGATGGCAACGTCACCCAAGTATATAATATATACCTATACCATAAACCAACATCGCGGCGTGAAGGACATACGCAGAACTCGTTCGTTGCTCATTACACAAATAGCTACAATAGTCTATATACACATATATACATAGCTATATATTCACCACATTCTACATCAACACAGGTACAGGTACAGACCCCATTTTAACGCGCGTGCTCACCACTCACTGCACTGTTGTGCTTTGGAAAGATGACATCCCAGCACATCTCGCGTCACGGCTTGTAATCCTAATAGTTTCCCTCTAATCTTCTTGTCTATTTTCGGTCCCAATATCTTCGACCCGATTTTCTCATCCAATCTCGCGCTCAGAGGCAAGTACGTCATCTCTGCACGTGATTCTGCAACTCCGATTCCAGATCCTGGAAGTTTTTCATCACAAACCTGGTTTTTGTTGAAACCACAATCCCAGTTTTCCTCTTTCTCGTCCTCGTCCTCAGCCTGGTCTACAGCGGAACAATACGTTTCGTCCCGTGCACAAAGCCCAAGCCGTGCGTGCATGCGCTGTATGTCCACAAACGCACAGAGTGTGTGAAATGCGTCGCTGTGCCCTGTGCCGTGGTACAGCACGCGATGGTCTTGCCTGAAGGAAAAACCAAGTTTAACCACCCCGGCGTGGTGATGGGTGGCTCGTAAGGTAGTTGCCAGTAGACTGCCCCCATTATCCTGAGGGCGGGTGGTGTTGCCCTGAACGTTTGCCCTGTGTGGTGTGGTGGATAGCGGAAGCTATATGTATCTTACAGCTGTATACTATCTGGCTATACGACTATTAGCCTTATACAACATCCTGTAAAGAGAGCGTAAATATACTGTAGTATGACGCTCTTAGTGAACCCAACTTCACACTCATAAACAAGCACCATGGACAAGTAAATCATTCAATAACTACAGAATATAATACACTCAGCGCCCCTGTTAAATTCACCCAATGCTCGGGGATTTTTCGTTCTATACACTAATTATATATATAAATATATATATA